CTCCAGCTCAAAGGCACATAAACTATTTTCCACAAAATCATAGAAGAAAATTTTCCTAACCTAAAGAAGGCTATGCCTATGAAGGTACAAGAAGCTTACAGAATACCAATTAGACTTGACTTAAAAAAAAAAAGGCCCCTCACTATATAAAAATCAAAATACTAAACATACAAACTAAAGAAAGAATAAGAGTTGCAAATAAAAAAGGCCAAGTAACATACAAAGGCAGACCTATAAGAATTATACCTGTCTTCTTTCAGAATTACCTCTGAAAGCCAGATTGCTACAGACACTAAGAGATCATAGATGCAAGGTCAAACTATTATACCCAGCAAAGCTTTCAATAATAAGACAGAGAAAACCAAATTTAAACAATATCTATCAACAAATTTATCTTTACAGACAGTACTAGAAGGAAAACTCCTACCCAAGAAAGTTAGATGCACCCATGAAAACAAAACTAATAGAAAACCTCACACTCACACCAGCAAAACCCAAAGAAGAGCAAAACACAAATACTACCACGAAAATATAAAAGGAATTCACAATCACTGGTCATTAATCTCTTACTACCAACGGACTCAATTCACATATAAAAATGGCAATCTTACCAAAAGCAAGCTACCAATTCAATGCAATCCCATCAAAATCCCAACACAATTATTCACAGACTTCAAAATAACAATAAAACCAAAAAACACGGCATAGCCAAAAAAAAAAAAATCCGGTACAGGAAAGGGACTTCTAGAGACATCACCATCCCTGACTTTAAGCTCTGCTTTAGAGCTATAGTAATGAAAACAATTTGGTATTGGCATAAAAACAGACATGTAGACCAATGGAATCAAAGGCCCTGATATTAATCCATACATTTTTAAAAAACTGATTTTTGACAAAGAAACAAAAATTATACAATGGAAAATAGCATTTCCAACAAATGGTGCTGGCATAAATTCAGCAACCCTGAACCTCATAGAAGAGAAAATGGGAAGTATCCTTGAACACATGGGCAAAGGAGACAACTTCCTAAATATAACACCAGTAGCATAGACACTGAGAGCATCAATTTATAAATGGGACCTCCTGAAATTGAGAAGCTTTTGTAAAACAAAGGACACAGTCAATAAGACAAAACAACAGCCTATAGAATGGGAAAATATCTTCACCAACTCCATATTGGACAGAGGACTAATCTCCAAAATATATAGAGAATTCATGAAACTAGACATACCTAACCTAAAATACCAAATAATCCAATTTAAAAAAATGGGGTACAGATCTAAACAGAGGATTTTCAACAGAAGAATCTCAAATGGCATAGAGACACTTAAGGAATTGCTGAATATACTTAGCCACCAGGGAATCACAAATTAAACTGACTTTGAGATACTATCTTACAACAGTCAGAATGGCTAAATTCAAAAACACTGATGATGGCTTATTCTGGAGAGGATATAGAGTAAGGGGAACACTCTTCGATTGCTGGTGGGAGTGCAATCTCGTAGAGCCATTTCGGAAATCAGTATATCAGTTTCTCAGAAAATTGGGAATCAATCTGCCACAAGAGCCAGCAATACCACTCTTGGATATATACCCAAAGGATGCACATGCATACCCCAAGGACATCAACTGTGTTCATAGCAGTATTATTCGTTATAGCCTGAACCTGGAAACAATCTAGATGCCCTTCAACCAAGAATGGATAAAGAAAATGTTGTACATTTACACAATGGAGCACTACTCAGCAGTAAAAACGAATGAAATTTGCATGCAAATGGGTGGAACTAGAAAAAAAAAAACCCAGTGAGGTAACACAGACCCAGAAAAGACAAATACAGTATGTACTTACAAGTGCACATTAGACATAAAACAAAGGACAACCATCCTACAGTCTATGACACAAGAGAAGCTAGGTAACAAGAAGAACCCGAAGAAAGACATATATGGATCCCCCTAGGAAGGGCAAAAGAAAAGGTCTCTTGAGAAAATTGGGAGCATGGGGGGAAAGGGAGAGCAGAAGGGGAGGGGGAGGGGAGAAAAGGAGGGAGGAGGAGAACATGAGGGAAGGTAATGATAGAGATAGGGAAAGGACAGAGAGGGAGATATTGCTTGATAGAGGGAGCCATTATGGGGCTAGTGTGAAGCCTGGCATCAGGGAAATCCTCAGGCATCCACAACGATGACCCCAGCTAAAACTATAAGCAATAGTGGAGAGGATGCCTGACTAGCCTTCCACTGTAATCAGATGGATGTCTACCTTAATTGTCATCATAGAACCTTCATAATAGAAGCAGATGCAGAGATCCACAACTAAGGACTGTACCGAGCTGTTGAAGAGAGATCAGTTGAAGAGAGGGAGGAGCAATTATATGAGCAAAGGGGTCAAGACCATGATGGGGAAACCCACAGAAACAGCTGACCTGAGCTAATGTGAGCTTACTGACTCTGGACTGATAGTGGTGGAACCTGCATAGGACCAAACTAGGACCACTAAATGTGGGTGACAGTTGTGTAACTTGGGCAGTCTATGGGACCACTGGCAATGGGACCAGTATTTATCCCTAGTGTTTGAAATGGCTTTTTGGAGCCCACTCTCTTTGGAGGGATACCTTGCTCAGCCTAAATAAATGGGGGGAGGGCCTTGGTCCTGCCAGACTTTGTTGACTCCTCATGGGAAGTCTTACCCTTTCTGAGGAATGGACGGGGGAGTGAGGGGAGCAGGAGCAGGGGAGTGAGTGGGAACTGGGATAGGTATGTAAAATGAGAAAAGATCGTTTAAAAAATAAAGTAAAAAAAAAGAAGAAGAAGAAAGATAAACTTTCTGCAAAGGGTGTTTTCCCACAAAAGCAACAACGTAGTATCAAAACAGATGGTAGTGAGACTGAAGAGTCCTTGCTCCAGACACTGCAGAGTCACCTCTCCTGGCACCTCCCCATTTCCATTTCTTTATCTTTAGCTGATCATGACAACCACATGCCTCTTTTACCAGAACTGAAACAGGTGAACTTCATGTTCTAGCATAGCTTTGTTCCAAAAGAGAAAAACAATAAAAACAAGATACAAAACCACAATTAATCCTGCCTTTAAGGAATCAAGATTCCATTGGGAGAACGAAAGGAATGGGCTAGATGTATGCCATACAAAGAGCAATTATGTTATCTCAGGTCTGCTTCTTAGAAATCTAGCTCTAGCTACACATCTAAAAAAATGGATTTAAAACCTGGAAAACGTTTGTTTACTCTCACTTTTTCTAAGACATAGTACAAACAATTTATAGTATGTATGTGTTTATATTTGTTTGTACATGTGCATAAGGTTCATGGGCAAATGTCTGTGTGCATTTAGAAATCATATGGTTGTCAGGTATCTTCTTCAACTGCTTTCCACCTTATTTTTTGAGACAGGATTTTTCAATGTACTTGCAAATCACTGTTTTTGTCGGCATGAGTGGTCAGCAAGTCCCAGGTGTATACTTGTCTTTATCTACTCTGTGACTTTCCTTACCCCATTGTCTAGGTTATAAACAATGTACCACCATGACTAGTTTTACATGCATGTTGATGACCCACAATCAGGTACTTATGCTCATATGTCAAGTCCTTCAGCATTTGAGTCATCTCCCTGGTCACAATAAAAGTAAAGTTATAAAAGGTATGAAAATAACTTGCAATGAAAACTTCATTGATGCTTATCAATCTGGTTCAACTTACCTGACTACTAAAAACATGCCACCAGCCCACAGAAATATTGGGCCATTTAGCATAATTTTGTGTTCTAATGTGGGTGATCAGATATAGTTTTCAAAGAGGAGACAATACATAGACTGCACACCAAAGAGAGATAGGGCTTCAGCAGGCTCTGATGAAGGTAGAACCCACTCTCTCACAACACACACATACTGAGTACTGAAAAGTGAGGCCAACTCTTAATGCAAAGAGATGGCCAAGAGTTCATCTTTGTACCATGACATTTAGAGCACACTAGTACTAATTTCAGAAAAAAAAAATGTCATGTTTTATGTTACCCTAATAAAGAGGATGAAGTTAAGGTAAAGCAGGTGTGAAAAAGAGAAAAAAGAGTAAGACTGGAGGTATAATGAAAGAGCTATTAAACAAGCTAATTATTATCTATCTGTTACATGTGGAAAGCATTGGGAAGGAACAATTATTTCCTTTTATGATGGCTAGTACAGAGACTCAACAAATTCTCCATTTTCTTTTCTCTGACATTACCAGATAGGATAAATACAATTAGATTTGGATTCCATGGGCTTCTGTGATTGCAAGGTAGGAAAAAGTAGCATTCTCCGCACTAGAAAACAGGAATTATTTGAAAACAGAAAAGAAATTGGTTTGAGAAAAAAGATTCTTGAAAACATGGCAATATAAATCAATGGGAGAATACTTGCTAAGCATATATGAGATCCTGGATTGATCCTAACACACACATGCACAGAGAGAGAGAGAGAAAGAGAGAGAGAGAGAGAGAGAGAGAGAGAGAGAGAGGGAGGGAGGGAGAGAGAGAGAGAGAGAGAGAGAGAGAGAGAGAGAGAAAGTACATGAAGAGAATCAGGGAAAAGAAATCATTTCCCAAGTACCTTTACCTAGTACCTCAGTATTTGACCTCCATGATTGGAGAAATACATGTGACATACTTTCCAAGAGTCCATCTTACTCAAGAAAAAGTGAGAAAAACAAATTTGATTCTGTATTACTGTAACTGGAATACATTTTATAAATAGCCTTAATATATTTTGTGTGAAACATTCTTAACATATTTTGGAGAATAAAAAATGGCTATTTCAAGAGCTATATATCTTGTGTTAAATTGCTGTTTTATATTTCTTGAATCTCAAGTGCTCACTTATTCTATGACTATATTAGAAAGACATCTGGAAGAAAGTTTAACTGATGAACATAGTGTTTTAGCCATCTAAATCTTGAAGATACAAAGGTCTATTCTATCCTGAATAAATTTGAAATGAAAAGACAGAGACTCACCATTAGACTGGTCTTCCCCATAGTTTTTATGGGATGGCGCATACAAGAACATCAAAGCAAAGACATACAGGTTCCACATTCCATAGATACCAGTGAAGAAAGCACTGTTCACTTGAACTGTGACACCACCCCATTTCCAATGTCCTTCTGTCACCTATAGATAAAAAGGAAGGCATTCAAGTGAAACAGAGAAGCATAATACCAAAATAGAAATCAATCACCATGAAAGCCAGAGCTCTTCTTCAAATGGAAATGTTAAAGGTTTCACATTTTATAAGAGTCCACATTTTAATATGAACTAAATCTGTGTAAATTAAGGTCTCCTGACTAGTGTCAAGTGAAAATTCAGTGGTTCTTATTTTGAATATGCATTAGTATAACTTTGATAATGTCTCTTCTTAGAAATGGAAGTACACTTATTCTTCATTTAAGGGATTGTGTTTGACACCATTCACAACTACAATTTCTTCTTTGCCATCTCCCTATGTAAACAAAAGCTCCCTGAGGCAGAAACCATTTCTAACTTACTTGCTACAGTTGCAACATCTTTGGTGCTTAATGTACCATGTGTGTACAGTAAACAAAAGTGCACATTTATTCAGTAAGGAAAGAGTAAAGTTTTTGGAATTCATTTTCCTTAAAACTTGAAGATTATAGATGATAACTGAATACATATGTAATTTCTAGTAATTAAATGGCAGACACTAATGACATTTTGTATTTATTTATGAAATGTCATTTTAGGTAAACTATTCTTAAAGGTAATTAGGAAGCTTCCATATGCTTTGTGTTTTGTAAGATATGTTCAGAAACTGCTTCAATTTGAGATGACTTGGTAATTGTTTTCAGAGTGCTTTGAAGATATGTGGTTTGCACTAACTACTACAGAGCTATTGAGCTGAATGACTCATAATTTGTACAAGCACTGAGCTCACTGAAATAATTTCAAACACTCTGGCTTGCTATAGGATATTTTATATGTGGATAAGAGAAAGTAATGTTAATGACTTCAACAAAAAGGTTGAGCTTGGTTCCTGTTTATGATATAGTGGGTCTGTGTTCATTCATGCCTTCCTTTGACTTCCCATAACCTATTGGGACCCTAATCCTTGTAAGATGTTAACTATATTTTTTGTTGTTGTTTTGAAAAACTTGGAGTGTCTGGAAACCAGGAAATCCAGTTATAGACTTACCATTGTTATTCTATCTTTTGTGACTCATACATACAACACAACTACCATAAACTCTGACTCATTTTGTAAAATAACTCATTTTATGAAATGTCCAGGTGATGGTTTTGACAAAGAGTTTAAAACCATTTCTTATTTTAGACCATGTGTCACAATTCAAGCTATTTATGACTTCTTAGCAATGTTTCCAAATGCTACGATAACATTAAAATACAAATTGTGCCCACTTTATAAAAATTATACCATGTGGAACACAGACTTATGCTCAATAAATATGATGGTAGGAAAGAGCTTTAAGAGAGTTCCAGAAATTTGTGCTTCTGGTCTAGTCCAGGTAACAGAAAACGCTGGGCTCATTAAAATATAAGCAAGACAGGACAAAGTAGCTTTGGGGTAATGGGCCTTCAACTAAGGAAAGGGCATGTAAGAGGTTACATTTTGGGACATGAACTAACAAAATTCATAATTGACATTTTAAATTTTAGCTTAATATACCTGGTATTTTTTCAATTCTTCTGAAGAGTTACATTGGAATTTTTAAAGACTTAATTATTGTGATTATAATGTACTACTTAAATTATTTCACCCTTCTCTTTTCCTTCGTCTATACTATACCATGTACAGTCCCATACCCAATGTCTTTCAAATTCACAGCCTCTTTTTCATTTAAACGTTGGTGTGTGAGTGTGTGTGTGTGTAATTAAATATGCAAACACATCTATTTGGTCTTAATTCATATTACTTGTATGTATATGTTTTCTGGGCTGACCATTTGGTATTAGGTAGCCAATTTATTTGTTATTCTGTGGATAATACTTTTTCCTCTGCTTTTTTGCATTTCCTGGTTGCCTGTAGTTCTTTATCTAAGATTGAGGCTTCTTGAGCTTTCCTCCTTCTATAGAACTGATATTTTGATTAATTCTTGCCAGAATTTGCATGATTGACTTGTCTAAGGAAATACCTGCAGGCCTGGTACTCACACAGTACTCGATTGATAGTCATTGATACAGAAATGCTATAAGAATGTCTCTGGGAACATAGAGAAACAAAGTAGAGCTAGAACTGAACACAGGAATTCAGCAGAGTGGACTATGAATCACTATTGATTGAGGATGAGTTTTAATGGATGTTGGTCCTGCTCATAATGGAGGAGATTAATGAATTAGGCATGCCATAGACTCCAAATAATTATCTGGGATAGACTTTGAATCTTAACAACTTGTGTAGAAGAATAAAAACAGGCTCTGAGTGGTGAGACTATTGGATTCCAAGATAATACTAGGGCTCTGAAGGACGGGTTTGTTAGCTTGTGTGGGGGAGAGAAAATTCTTAACTGATATTCAGAACTGGGGGAATAAGGCCTTTTAGTGTGTATACAGGGAATACTATCAGCTGATAATTATAACCTGGGCTTTAAAGGAAAGAGATTCTCGAAGCGAAACAATTTTTTCTATAGAAGAGGCTGATGATGTCCAGATGAGGGAAGCCCCAGAGAGATCAATACCATTAGCTGGTGAGGTTAAAGGTTGCGGGAATTATCACTATGCAAGGAGTTGGGGAAGATACTAGGCCAGAAGTTGTAGGGGACCTTATCATGAACTGTACTATTTGATGATTAAGAGCGAGGAAAGAGCAGTGAGGGAGGGAAATAAGAAAGAAGAGGGAGAACAGGGAGAGGTAGAAGAGCAATGAATGAAGGAAGGGATATCTATCTGAAAAGTAGAGAAAATATTACAGTCCATAATAAATCACAATAATTTTATGTAAAAGTGAGAAGAAAAATCAATACATGGTAAGAATTCATTACATCTTGTACTTTATGGAAGGTTGGGGTTTCAAAAGCCCAGACCATGCCCAGTTACCCCAATCTCTGCCTGAGGCTTGTGGATCAGGATGTAAGCTATCAGCTGCTGCTCCAGTGCCAAGCCTTCCTGCTTGCTGTCATGCTCCCTTCCAGGATGGCCATGGACTCACCCTCTGAAATTGTCAAGCCTAATAAGTCGTTTTATTTAAAAGTTGCCTTGATAACAGCAACAAAAATTAACGAAGACCAAAGACAGTATTTCCATATCTTGCCTGAGATTGCTCATCTCAGAAAGTCATAGTCATTAGTCCAAATACAGAAAGTCTTCTTAGTGACTATATAACACAAGGGTAGGACATTATCTTAAACAGGGTTGGTCTTTAAAAGCAGTAGATCAAACAACTACTTGGAAGCTCACTTCATTGACCATTGTTAAAACAGCATATATACACAAGTCTATACATTCAAATCTGGGGTTAGGGGTTATGAAGAAACTGTAAATGCCATGTATATCCTAAACACGGTAACGTATAATTTAGAGTAGACAGAATATGTAATGTTTTTTAGAAAAATCTTTTGAATGAGATGCTCCATTAATAACGAATACATAGGAGCTGAGTCTTTCTAAGAAAATAATGGATTAGTGCCCTCTTTTATTTGGTCTGGGGCATACATGTTGCTAGGAATATACTTACTTAAGTACCCAAAGATTGAACTCTATCTGCAAATGCTTATTTCTTGGTAGGCAACGAGGTAAACTACAAAAATTAGTCATGTAGATATTGTAACTCCAGGATTTAGAAACTAGATTTTTATTTTCTCCCTATGTTTTCTCAACTACTCATGCTTTAGACAGACCAAACTCTAAGCACATTCTCACTATCATGATCCACAATGAGCAGCCTCAACAGATCAGGAATTGTAGATCCAAATTCTTACAATGCAAGTAAGACGAGTAGTCATTTCCTATTTTAACTTTCGTAGAGAAAAAGAAAACTCAAGTACTTGCAACACCAAATAACAATTTGTTATCACCAAATATCAAAAACCATGTTACCCTCTACAGACTCTTCCCTTTTCCTGATTTTACATGACAACAGATTACTTCTGTATAGAGACACATTTATACCCCTGCAGTCAAGTGAGGACAAATCTCGTTATACCCAGTAGTTTGACAACCAACATTCCACTAACAACAAGATTTCCAAACTCCAAACACAGGCTCTCTTACAAGAAACATTTCCTTACAGCTGTCTAAGCCACAAACTGAAGTGATCACACACCAGAAAAAGAACTGGGGAGCTGGGTCTCTGGGAGTTTATTACACATATCTTTACCTGAATATCAGGTCTCTGGGTGTTCCTTCAGTGAAAATCGGTGACCTTCTGTGCACTGTACTTCTTTTCTGTTCCTTGCTAACACCACCTCTAAACTAACTAAACACTTCTCTCTTCTAGAAGGAACAGGACTGAAAGACCAAACTGTGGTACAGCATTTCTTCATTGCTGTGACTCAGATCATTAAAATAGCAGGCATTAAAGACTGAACCTCAGTCCCAGTTACAAAGCCTCAAGGTCACCACATTCTAAGAGCTTCCTATGTGCCTTTCATTCCTGGTCTCAGAGCTTCAAAATCCTAGCAAGATTCCTCACATATATTTCATAGGGCTTAAATGGAAGCTCTCCCAACAAATATAATGGAAGTTTTAAAAACATCCCTTTTACCAAATGCTGAGGTCCATTTCAAAAGTTATCCAATGGATTTTCTTTCAGGTAAGCTCATTGTTGTGACATTCAAAAATGATATTAGAAAATAAATCCTCTGATGACTCTATTAACAATACCAAGAAAACAGAGAGTTATGAAGGAAAATGTCTTAAGTATCTGTAAATAAACTTTTAAAAAAAGAAAAAGAACGAAAAAGAAAAAGAAGCAGGAGGAATGTATGTTGCTAATGGAATTCAAAGACATCATATCTCTTTAGAGTTGAAATCCACCCATCTAACTATTGCAGCTAATATAAAAAGCTGGCCAGATCCCAATAATGTGATAATGAAAAACTAATCATTATTTGCAAAGAAAATCTTTAAATTCTCTCATAAGACATCTTCTACCACTTTAAAGCAACAGCCATACATGTATAAAATTAAATTCAGGCAAAGAACAGCCAGTCATGTTGAGGATTAATTCCTCTAGAATTCAGGTGGAAGGAGTTCTGCAGTTAAGTCACTGAGGAGGGTTGTGGCCCCAAAGTGGGCATGAGAGGACTGCAGCTTTGAAAAATGGCAGAAGTAGGCCTCAGGAATGGAAGTACCGTTCCCTTTCATGTTCCTGAGAACACGGTACATCTTACTGGAGACTCCACCTCTACGTGAGGGTCCCCTTATTTTCTCAGTCAAGAAACTCAGTAGGCCGTATAAAAACACCATATTGCTAAGGGTCTGGAGAAACCAGGAAGTATAATGATCACACAAGGAAATTAGCCAAAAGTGGAGTCAAGCTTAACCCAAACCCTTTCCTTGAATTTGAGTCTTTGAGCCTTAACTGAATTAAAGATGTATTCAAGAGCCAGAGATATGGCTCAGCTGATAAAGGTATTTGTCGCTGAGACTGATGATCTGATTTTATCCCTGTGATTCACATGGTAGAAGGAGAAAACTGACTCCTATTGCAAATGTGATACACACATATAAATGTAATAAAACATACAAATAAATGTAATAAAAATTTTGGAAGAACTCATTCTGAATTAGCAATTGCTTTACTATATTTGGAATAAAGTTTCCAAGGTTTTATAAACGGTTTGATACAAACACACTCCTATTACAAGTAAAAGAAGATGGAGTGAACAATGTGCAAACACATGTAGGTATATTGTTTAAGTTATTTCTACATACGATCAACCTTCATCCAGTAACTGATGGAAGCAGATGGAGAGATCCACAGCTAAGCACCGGGCCAAGCTCCTGGATCCTGGAGTCCAGTCGAAGAGAGGGAGGAGGGATTATATGAGCAAAGTGGTCAAGATCATGATGAGGAAACCAACAGAAACAGCTGACCGGAGCTAATGGGAGTTCACAATTCCAGACTGACAGTTGTGAAACCTGCATAGGAATGAACTAGGCCCTCTGAATGTGGGTGGCTTGGGCAGTTTGTGAGACCACTGGCAGTGGGATCAAGATTTATCACTAGTGTATGAACAGGTATTTTAGAGCTCATTCTCTATGGAGGGATACCTTGTTTGATCTAGATAGAGGAAGAAGTGCCTTGGTTCTGCCTCAAAGAGAGGTGACAAACTTTGTTGACTTTCCCTTACCCTCTCTGAGGAGCAGATGGGGCCAGCGGGGGAAATGGAGAGCAGGAAGAGGGAATGGAGGAAGAACTGAGATTGGCATATAAAATGAAAAAGATTATTCTAAAAAAATAAAAAATGAATTAGTTGCTAAGGACATATTTATAGTAAGTATGAGTTATCTATGATGTATATAATTAAATACATATATATAAATGTATATGATTCTTTTTGAAATCTGAAATATTTTATTTTACTTATTTAGAAGCATTCTGAGAACAGAACCATAGCTTCACTAGATTGTCAAAGGAATTCACACAGAGTTCATAAACTAAAGAAAAATTTGCTAGTAGATGAAAGAATAAATCACCCTTTTCCTAAGGCTATACCAGAATGCTGCTCTATGCTATCCAAATAGATCCAATAAAAGATCCAAAATGACTGAGTTCTAGTCTCCAATTTGTATGCATTTTGGTAAGTTACTAACAAAACTGTTCATGCTTATGACATACCAGGGACTATACTAAATACTTGGCTATTACTTCTATATATGGTACTATTGCATAGTGAAAAAAAGATTAATGTTAATATGTTAAGAAATGTTAAATAACCCACTAAATTACTACATTTCTGGAAAACAGAATGTATGAAAATACCTCAAAAGCCATGATAATGATAATTTCAGAAACATGACTAATAGTCTCTATCCAACTTACCTCAGAAGAACTTTGTGAAACCCATCTGACTAATATGTGCACTCTATATCGGATTTTAGATAGACTTTTTCACTTCTCAAAGTAAGTAATCAATATTTTAAAATATTACAAACATCATTATTGAGATTTTAAAGTACATCAAACTGAGTTTAAGAAATAGTATAAGGAAAATTTTCTATCAATGGGACTTTTGAGTCATGTTCATGTTTAGGTGGCAATGTAATTATCACACAGAATGACTAAAGGCCTGTCAAAGAATCTTCGTTAATGCTAAGTAATGACCCAATCAAATTAGCACATGCTTACTAATGTTACATCACAGGTCTTGAAACATTTACTCTCTGAAATGAAATGTCCCTTCAATATGGCTATAGGTTTTAGCATAAATACTTAGCAACTTTCTTCAAGGTAGGACTGGAAGTCTATGTCATCAGCTTGCGGAAAGTCCCATGCTGGAGTGATCTAAAAAGTGTTTTGCTTAGCTAAAGAAAATAAGCCTCTCTGCTTTTGTTCTCAGCAACTCTGAAAAATCTCCTCTGTTAGAGATGGGGACCACTTCAGGGACAGTCTCTTGAGAAGGCTTAGGATTCACTCACCTGACTAACAATGAAGAAGATAACAGTCATGGCAGCACAGGCTAAGGTGATAAGCATGAGGAACTTGAACCTGAAAATCAGACCCTATTAAAAAAGACAGGAAGAATTGTTCAATATATTCTCTCTTTCCCCCTGCCCCCTCCTCTCTTCATATCTATCTGTCTGTCTGTCTGTCTGTCTATCTACTTACCAACTTACCTATGTGCAAAACCAAATCCCTAAGAATGACAGTAAAATCGTTCGACATGTTAACATCCTTCCTGTAAAGGTGAATGTAGCTGAGGGAATTCTTAAACAAAATATTTTCTATGTTCTTATCTCTCATGAAGCAATGATGCTGGAGTCTATGATTTTACATTCACAACACATCATTGAGCTACAAAGTTCCCTGATAAACAGGTTATATAATTCTACACAAAAGTTAAAGTTACCAAACAAAAGCTTTCTACAGTTATAATAAAATTCTTCTCCAATTTAGGGAGGGGTGTTGTATTAGTCAAAGTGAAATCAATTTGGTTTAATATTCTCATTTGTCACTCCAGCTCTGGAAACAGATAAGCCTGAGAAAGTACTTTTGGTTTCCAAAATTATCAGGGTTTAAAGAATGGTGCCTACTGATTAGGTGTCTTCTGTGCGGACTAACTGTGCAGTACACCATGATTCTGCAGTTTCTCCTTTTTTCACATAAAAAGTAATGAATCTAGTCAATGTGCCACCTGCATTAGAGATTGGAGGAGGCTAGGTGTTTCTCTTGAATAGCTAATATAAACTAGAAGCAGATTATTGAACTATACTTGAGCACCCGCTGGATATTTTAGAGAATGTGTACTACCAAGAGTCTGGTAAGCATGGATAAGAAAGATTGCTCAGAGAATAATAGCATTGGTTAAACATATTTAGCAACCTGAACTCAATTTCTTGAATCCATGTAAAAGCCAAAGTAGAGAGGTGAGTGTTTACACATCCTGCTAGAGATCATTAGCATAAATTCTAGAATGAACTAAGATAGCTGCTTACCTCATAGTGGAGCCGTCGGACTTTGCTCATGGCTGGGAGACTAGACTGCTTCCCACTGATGTTTCGAAATACCTGAAATACCATGAAACACAGAAACAGAAAATAGAGGCAGAGGCAGATCCCTGCCACAATGATGAAAGCCATCTGCAAGTGTACAGTGAAGGAAAGGACAAATTTGCCAAGAACATGTGCTAAAAGGGCACAGAACTCCTCAACAGCTGTGTTGGAGGCACTCAACATTATCTCCAAGTGCTCAAGAGGTTTTAAGGAAGGTACTACTATTAAAACCTGGTTTTCTGATGCCACTGATTAGGGTTTTCTGACACAACAATTTCAGAAGGGAATATTCAAATAATGTTATAAGCCAAGAAAAAGAGAAAAAACTGTAGTCTAATTTTACAAAATAGAGTTGGGTCCCTCTTAGAGCTAGTAAATCAGCATCTGTTTTTCAAGCATATTTTAAGGAAATTCAAATGTGTCATGAATTTAAACACACTAGTATAGTGGATATTTGTTACTAAATGGGAAACTGTTTAAAAATCACTGAGAGAGTTCAAATAAAGATGCCTGAGTCCCACCGTACATATATCTATCTAATCATAACTTTCTAGAAAATGAGGGTAAACATGTCTGGAACCACTCTGCTGTGCTTGGACTTTTCTAAGAACAAGACTGAGATACCCTGGGGAAGGCATAAATGGAGTAAGTTCAGTAGCAAACGAAAGGGGAGGGAGTTGGCAAGGATCCAAAGGATGGAGAGAAAAAGCAGGGACTGTGGATCCAGAGAGTATACCCATTGGAGAAATTCTGAGACCTACCACCAGGGCACAGAGTTTGAGAACCAGCAAGATAGAGAGCAGTGTGAATTGTCAGAACAGCAGAAAACAGACTGCAGCTCCTCTTTCTTCTACCAGCTGGATTCCAAATTGCCTATATTTTTCCAATATTTTGACAGGTAATAAACTATACATCTACCTTTCTTTAAGTAGTATATTTAATGCAATTATTCCTTCTTTCCTATGACCAACATTGCCTTGGAATAAAGAGAAGATGGTTAATTGTTGCAGGACTTGAAATTTTATTTGCTTCCCTTGCCTTTCATCCTACGCGTAAAATGAAAGGGTTGAATCAGGCATTGCAATTGTTCGTCTTGTACAGTTACCACTGTGGGGGATGGGAAGTAGAGGAAGTTCAATTCTTCTAAATTAAAGGTACCAACACTATGTATCTGGTTCTCTCACAAAATTCTGTGGCATTAAGAAATTGATATAAATACCACCACTAAACAAAGTATATTCAAGGGACATGTCAAGGCATTACGTGTTAAGAAAGAGCAGAACTCCAGGCTGCCCTCTCACTACAGAGAAGAGGCTTTTTCTCTTAGAATATTAAACAGGGTGCTAAGAATATCAGATTTTAAAATAAGTACCATTAAGGAATAGGTTAAGACTCATTTTTCTTCACTGAAGTGATGCAGATGGTGATAATTTGGACCAATCAGGAGCCTCAGCATTGCTCAAGAACTAATTACCTTAGTGTCAGTCCCACTGAGTCTCAGGAACTAAAGGTGGTTTTATGAAGATTTGACAATAGTTTCACTGGATAAAGGACTGGCTTTCCTATAGAAGCGCTGCATACAAGTCACCTCAGACCCCAGCTTTCCTACATAATGGTGACTTTGGTCCCAAGCTTTCTAGAGCAGAAGTTTCCCTCTCATATAGGTGACCTCTGTTCTAGGAACCAGAAAGTATCTCTGTGGCTCAAGAAGAAGCTGCAAATACCTTATAAAATAGATGATTTAGGATATACTTCAGTCCAGAAACTTTGAACTGTATCTAAAACCTATGGCACAGGGAGATCATGAAAACTCCCACTTTGGCTGCTATCACAGTCTGAAAGCACATACTAATTCTTCTCAATATTTATCTCTAATTGTTGCTATTGGTCTGAGGACCAAAGCCCTGGCTGAGCTCATCTAGAGAGTATCTGCTGAAATACAGAAAATGATCATGAAGCCCAGACAGATAGGGAGACAAAAATGAAACCTCAAATATATCAAAGAAGGATACAGCCAGTTCTGTCCCAACATCTGTAGTCCAGATACTGTAGAAAGGATTTGTGAGTTGCACTCCTCTATAAAAACAAAAACAAACAAGATGGAAAATGAAATACAGGTGCAGAGCAGAGCTTTTCCTTAATATTGAAGCAATGAAGAGAGGCAAGGGGACCATGGTAGGGATGTTAGTGTACCATATTTAGAAAATAAACTTCAGAGAGTATAAGGGCATATAGAGCTTGAGAATATGATCCAAAGCACTTTGAATGTATAAAGGGATAAGCCTTTGGTTTTGTCACAGACTTCTGAGCATATGACTTCTCCAATATTTAATCCCATGGACAACCAACCACCATTCTTCATTTAAAAACTCCTTCTAGAAAGATGGAAGTAGACAAAGAATGTCACATTTCATCTTGGAGTGACTTCAATATCTGCTTACCTCTCACACATGTCAAATATGAAGAGGCAGAAAGAGCCAACAGCAATTGGTCCAACTTGCTTCCAATACCCTGCAATGTGATTCCGCTCATGTTGATCCTAATATAAAACAAATTTAAGAAGGAGAAGAGCAAATCTATTCCATAGGCGATCTAGCTAATCACCTACTATGTACTTGATAGATGATAGCATTAGAAACAAAAGAAATAAAACTCTCAGTGTCATGTCAGCTGAAGGACATAGCACAAAGCCCAGTCACTGGGGTTGTCAATAAGAATGCACACAGCACTGTGGGATGACAAAGAATGACGTTAGGGAAATTTTTGTCCCACAAAATAAATTGTTGTTTAGTAATAATTTTTGTTTATAAAGGTAAAATGATCACCAAGAAATAAAAACAATAAGGTACTTCATTTAGCTAAGTTTATCTTATCTTCATCATCACAAGGAACAATTTTCCACCCCTATCTAATTTCCAGAGTGTCTTGAAATATATCCCAGGTTAGCCTGAAACTCAAAGTCCTTCTGTTTAAGACGCCTGCATTTGCCAGAAGTACAACATGAAGTATTCCTTTGGATGGGCAACGAAAGAAAAAGAATATATATATATATATATATATATATATATATATATATATATATATATATGCCTGTAGGCAGGGTTGGTGGTCTATACAATCTTATTGTGAATAATCACCCTGGTTGGGGCCCTACTGTCCTTATCTCATTGCCAGGGCATCTCTGCTGGAGGACCCGTCATATAGTAAAACCTCTTAGGTGGAATTTGGTTGTAGGTAAATTCCCCTCTTCTTACACTGTTCTCCTGCAGAGGGAACTGGCTTCACAAATTTGATTTTAATGATCAAATCATAATGAAACTTAAAAATAGCCTCTGCACTGGCATGATGGCTCAGTGGGTCAAAGCAGCTATGGCTAAATCTGAAAACACAAAATCAATCATCAGGATACACACAGTGAAAGGAGAGAACTCCAGAAAACTGACCCCTGACTTATACACACACACACGAATATACACACATAGACACAGACACATGGACATACATATATACACACACACACAAATAAATGTAATTTAAATAAACAATTTAAAAGCATTCTTTTCTGAAGCCTAACTTGAATATAAAAGTTCTTATTGACATAACTGCATCTTAGCCACAATGTAAGAATGAGATCCATCTTATTTTTATTATGGTAACTCAGCCTTTCTTAAAATAGAATTTGATGCCATGCAAAGAGGTCAGTATTCTCGGGTAATGGGTGTCACTGGATCACTTGGCTAAGCTGCTAGCTGAAAAAAAGGAATGAACACATTGCCTGGTAGTTGTCCTGCTTTTAAGTCTAGGGAAAGCAGAAGGCAAGCCAAAGGGCAAAAAATAAAAATAATGATCAGACTTTATATATTTCTCTTTCACAGCATTATTCCTTTTTCTGTAAGGAAACAAAAACTCACATACATTAAGACTTTTTACTACATTTCACAAACAAGGGCCTGAGATTAGGGCATTTGCCTCAAAACAGTCAGTAAGTTACTAGTGAAGAAAGACTATGAACCTGCAGGGATAGAGTTAGACCTATGGTCCCTCATTTCTTTTACCTTCCAATAGCTTAAGAGAGGCATAAGCAAGTAGACTTCAGCTCAGCAACTTTCTCAAAGACGCTTATGGACAGACAGATATCCCTTCCCCAGAAGTTCTTACCATCATGTGTTCACCACAGAAGATAATCCAGAAGGAAAGAAGCATTGCATAGAAGATGCCCTGCCGGATGTCACCAAATAACAGCATCCAGGTCCAGTCAAACCCAATGGAAAACCATTCCACAGGGATATTGATGAATGTCATGGAAATCCCAAGAGCAAAGATGACTCTGAGAAAGTACCCATAAGAACCATGTTACTCTGGAGGGCAAACTTTAAAAGTCTGAAGCAAATTTTGAGAACTGAGATGCTATTTATTCAGATTTTAGCTAATTGATCACTTTCTTAGCATTCATGTAGTTTCCACTCTGGGATACAAAATGTCCTAATTTACATCTCTGGAAAATGAAAGGGTGTAACACTAACCTTTGTATCACAAAATAGAGTCACCTGAGAAATACACACTTTAACCCTGTTCCCTTCTTAAACAGATAAGTTTTACTATAACTAGACCCTCTTACATCTTCATAATATCACTGATCCAATCATTAAGAATACACACCATTACTGTGATAACCTTGGCAATTGCTAATTGTGTAAGTATATTTGTTTCAATAAAGAATTATATAACTACACATAAATACAATTGGCAACTTGTTTTGTTTTCTTTCACCACACTATTTACTTGCCCCTTCTTTATTAAAATGTCATTCTGATTTAAACATTTCTATATCCATCATTTGCATATGCTTATAAGCCATAAATAATGTACCAAGAATGCTGTTAAGGCTACAGATACATATATGAGAAAGTCTAATGTTTTAACTCAGGGAACTGCATTTAATGGGAAAGCCAGACAAAAAGGCATTAAAGTAAATTGGTAAGCAACATCATCACAGTTTAGAGGCCTTTTACAGAGACAGAAACTAAGTACATAAAGAGTTGAGGAAATGAAGGTGAAAAGGGCAGAGAGAAGAGTCTAAATGGATGCAGAGAGGCTTGGAAGAGCAGGGATATTTACATATCTATGTATAGCATATTTTAGGAAATAATAGGACATGAGAAGAATAGCTCATGAAGAAACTTACGTAAAGTTTACCTTAAAAGAGACTAGCAAGCCAATAAAAAGTTTAACTAATAGAACTACAACATTCATTCATTAACAGATATTAATTTAAAGTTATAGATATTAATTTAAAGTTAAAGAAATATAAAGATAGAAAGAGGACTGATAATGATTTAAATAGGATGAATGGGGTGGGAGACAACAAAACACTGCAATCAAAAACAGCACAACAGGGCTTAAAGGGAAGGAGTAAATGAGGTACTAAGATACCTGGGAAGTACTATTTCAGATAACAAGAACAAGTCATCTTAGGGTTGGGAAGAGACTTGGACCTAGAGGGGCTTCCAGGTGCCCAAGGCGAGGTCCCCAGTTAGTTCCTGGGGCAGCTGAAGATAGGGAACCTGAAATGATCCTATCCTATAGCCATACTGATGAATATTTTGCATATCACCACAGAACCTTCATCTGGCGATGGATGGAGATAGAGACAGAGACCCACACTGGAGCACTGGACTGAGCTCCCAAAGTCCCAATGAGGAACAGAAGGAGGGAGATGAGCAAGGAAGTCAGGACCAAGAGGGGTGCACCCACCCACGGAGACAGTGGGGCTGATCTGTTGGGAGCTCACCAAGGCCAGCTGGACTGTGACTGAAAAAGCAGGGGATAAAACCGGACTCTCTGAATATGGCGGACGATGAGGGCTGCTGAGAAGCCAAGGACAATGGCACTGGGTTTTGATCCTACTACATGTTCTGGCTTTGTGGGAGCCTAGCCAGTTTGGATGTTCGCCTTCCTAGACCAGGACAGAGGGGGGAGGACTTTGGACTTTCCACAGGGCAGGGAACCCTGATTGCTCTTCAGACTTGAGAGGGAGGGGGAGAGGAGTGGGGGGACGGGGAGAGGAGTGGGGGGAGGGGGGAGGAGTGGGAGGCTAGGAGGAGGCGGAAATTTTTTATTTCTCGATAAAAAAAAAGGAAAAAAAAAAGAACAAGTTTAAAAGCTTTGAGGTGAAAGCCTAGAATCCAAGGCATTTGAGCACTATCACAGGTACTGCAGAGAACAGGAGATTAAGATTCAATGGACTTTATAGGACAAGGCAAAGCTAGCAGAGGTTTCAGCAATGGAGTGGAGTGATTTTATTGACCCGTAAAGGGAACACAGAGGCTTTTGGTATATATAATGTAGTAAGTATAATTGTGCAAGGAAGTGCTTCTTATAACCCAGTTGAGCAATGATTTGGGTGCAAAAGAAAATGCTAAATAAATAATTCCTATGTTTGTATCTAGAGTTGGGAGAGGTTAAGGCTAAGTATATAAAACAAGAATCATCATACAATGCATAATTTTGATTTACAGAGATCACTATGGAAAAAGTAGAGCTAATAAAGAAAGCAAGTCCAAAGTCTCTGCCCTTTTTCAACAGTGTAAGAAGCTAGAAAGATGGGGAAACAGTAATGAAGACTAAGTGATGGCCAACAAAGGAGAACAATACACAAAAAACAATAAGGTTGAATGAATAAAGGAAACAGGGTGATTAGCTGTGTAAAATGCTGCTCATGGGACAAAGAAGGTATTTGGGCTGTGGAGGTGATTCAAAAACCTGTAAAATGGCACAGTGGAGATAAATCAATATTGAAATGGAACCAAGAGAGAACTGGAGCAGACATGTGAGCAAGGTTTTTGAGGATTCTTGTAAAAGGAGAAAATGATATGGTTATTTCAGAAAGAAGTACTTTCTCATGGTACAGCATATTTATGTATAATACTAATGGAACTAAGAGAAAAAAAAGTTGTTTGATGTGAGAAAGAAATGAACTATATCTACAGGAACATCATCCTATGTATGAGAAGGTTTAAATTGAGTTGAAAGTGAAACAATCCATTGATAGAGAAACATCTAAAATCTGACCCTGGAGAAGAACAGCAAAGACAGCAGTGTGAGGTTTATCATTCTTAAGATTAACGGATAATTTGTTTATGAAATCTGAAGGAGACAAAGAGTTCACAATGACTTTCAAATCAATTCACCAGCTGGAGTAGCACACTGGTTGCTTGAACTAGACACACAAAATAAGAGCACGGCAAATTACAGAAAATTAGCATTTTCTAAGTGTGATCTGAATCAGTTCTTACTTTTCCAGAAGTACCGGGGGTCGGGACATCATGGTGATCCTCCTCCAATACCACACCATAATGATGAAGATGCTGGGTGTGAGGAAGGTCTTCATAGCAAACCAGACCTTAGTGAAGCCTCCATTTTGGTGGATTCCCTAGACCAAAACCAAATATAATTTTGGAGATGAATATACATTACTGTTATTTTTTACATACAAATACAGATGAGCAAACAGTTTACCTACACAACAGTGTCCATAGTCACAGAAGGTACTGCCCTCATATACCCTCTGTCGCTTCCTCAGATATCATAGAAATATAATGAAAATCATAAAAATGGGCCATGCTATGTCAAGGGATTGATTAAGAACATAATCAAAGATTTTTCTGTAGGGTCTTCATTCAACATTGGAGATACCACATAGGTCCAGTAAGCAGTATTGGAAAGCAGAATTACATTATGTTCATAACATGCCATTAAAAGAAAAAATAAAAGCAAAAAGCACAAGTCATTACAGAAATATGTTATACATCTCTATCTTTACCTGTGCTTTTAATTTAATTTCTAATTTTCTTGCGTTTGTGTGAATGAGGTTTGATTTAAAATGTGGCCTCCTTATGCTATGTTCTATACCTTTCATTAAACAACATGGAAAGAACCTAAATCATCACTGTTCTCACTAACATTTGTGACTTTTATGGTAAAAATGTTAATTTTCTTATCCTGTTTATATGCAATCATGATCACACTATGACCTTAGAAATAACTACAATAATTTTATGTGATCTTAAGACCAATTAAGGTATCATAGAACCCACCACATCAATGGAGAGAGGCTAAGGCGCCGAATTCCAGCTTTAGGTTGTGTCAGGAGCATTTGTCACAAGCTACTGCAGACCATAACACGATGACAGCTTATAGTAATTGATAATCCAGACGTCAACCCATCAAAGAAATTAATCTCAGATGGAGAAAACCTTCCTGGCAAGGTCAGCAGGACCACTGACTCTGAAAACTGCTACTTTCATCTGTAATTTCACTTGTGCAATAATAGCTATTATATCTCCCCATTACCATGCATTTTCATGTAATGTGGACTTATAACCTCATGATTGCATTTCAGTCTTATAGACACACATATTTGTGGCTGGTCAGGAAGATGACTTCTCTCTACACTATGTTCTCCACATTACAGTGAGAAATATATTAGCCTTAGTGACAGAGCAATTTGACCAGACATGTGTTCTTCTGGACAGATCACAAACAGAACTTTCACAGATTTTACTTATGAAATTGCAGGTGTCTGGCCTTGTAGGATCTCAGCCCCTCAGAAAATTCATGGTAAACTAGGGTGGTATTACAGGCGTCTGTCTTGTTATATCATAGTCCTTCAAGAGATCAATAGCATTTACGTTGTCCTACGCTTCCTTCACCGGCACCTCCTTGCATTGATTCATAATAGCAGTTAATATTTGTGCAAGTTTTTAGATTCATTATACTAACTTTTTGTTTAGGTTCTGAGATTTAGGTGTTTAGAAAAAGGCTGTTAATTGGCTAACTATGTCCAGATATAGTAAAATAATGCACCTATTCTTTGCCTTTTCCTTAGTTCTCTCAATGGTTTCATTTTCTCCCTTTGTAACCTGTAGTGGCCCCTTTAAGAGAGGGCCAGAACCTCCTTACAGCAGTAGTTGTGGTTGGCTTCAAACTAGCTGATAAGTTTTGCTATGTATCTTCAAACAATGCCTGTGTCCCTGAGAATTTTCCTTGTAGTTTTTTTTATTACTAATAATGAATATATAAATGCTTGGTAATGTACGATGGCAAAAGAAATAAGACAGAAAGAACAATGTAGAAATGCAGAAGAATAAGGATGTAGAATGTACAAATAAGAAAAAGAAATAAGGATATTAGAATTGGGACAGAAAATTAGAGCAAAGAAATTTTAGACAATTAGGACAAGAGAATTAGGATTAAAGAAGAAATAAAGAAAATGACTAAGATACTGTGTAAAAGTTATTATAGAAATATTTCAATCCACACTCCTGAGAAACATTTCTCTTTTGGAACTCTGGGTAGGGGCTGGGAGCTAGTGTCTTGGCCTTTACAACGTTTCCTGTGCCAGGACCCTGGCATGTTGGCATGGTCATCTGTACAACAATGTGGGCATGATCAAGAGGAAGCTGCAGGACCATGCTCACTCTTATACTCTGAACTGTAAACAAAGTAAAACATCTGCTTCTTCTTTTTCTTTTTCCCTTATATTTTTACTTATTCCTTGAGGATTTCATACAATATGTTTTGATAATATTCTTTTTCCTCTGTCAACTCCTCCCAGATCCTCCCCCCTCCTTACTCACCCTACTTTGTATTCTTTTTCTCTTACTTACCAACTAAAACAAAAATCCCACAAAACAAGCAAACAAAAAGGGCAAAATCAAAAACAAGACATGGAGTCTAATCTTTTGTAGCCAACAATTCTTGTGCATGGAACCTGCCCTGGAGTGTGGTTGATAAAGACAGTGTCTGTCATTTCATTGGTGAAAACTGATTTTTCCCTATCCTACAAAATATAAATAATGAACAACTTCTTGGCTAGGAGTAGGACTTTGTGCTCACACTCCCTTTTTAGCACTAGGATTTTTTCTGGCTTTATATTGTACACTTAGGTGTGCATCTATTCTGTTGTGTATGTAAAATGTACACTCTAGTGCCGACAATCTCTCCATTCCCTCCTTCTACAAAGATTCCTAATCGCTGAGAGAAGGAATGTGATAAAGACAACCCATTTGGAGCTGAGCATTCCAAAATCGCATTCTCTGAATGCTGTTCAGTTGTGGGGTTCTGTGTTAATTGCCATTTACTGCAAGAAGATACTTCCCTAATATATGCACTCATATATTGATATTGATATAACAGTATCTCTTAGGAGATTTTATTGTTATGTTCATTTATCAGAATAACAGCAGTAGGTTTTCCCTAGGGCACATGATGTATTTATTCTCAGGTTTTTGGCATCATTAACACTGTCAGGTATAAGTTCCATTCCATGCAGCATGCCTTAAATCATCAAAAACTGATTAGTTATTCATATAATATTTGTGCCAGTATTTTACCAGTGGACATATCTTGCAAGAAAATTATTATCATAGCTTGCTGGTTGAGACTAACAGTTATTTTTTTAGCTTCCGGTAGTATATATAGCAACTTCTAGCTAGCACTATGAATCCTAGCCAGTATGGGTGAAGCTTAAAATAGAAAGTCAGCTAAAATTTTCTATGTTCTCTGTAAGTCAATGTTGAATTATCAATCTAAAAACTTTGACTTTTGGTGATCTTTAAAAAAAAGACTACTTAAGATATTAAGTGCAGAGATCCACAATTGCTCAAGGTAAAAAGAATAAGAGGCTGAATGCTTAGCCCTAAAGGAAAATGTACCATACCATTCCTCTCAAGTTTCAGAGATCATTTCAGAATAGGGGTCTGAAAGAACCAGAAGAGATAGATGACCACAAGGAAATATCATCAGTGAACAGCAAGGTTCATATAAACTCATAGCAGTTACCAGAGAATGCATAAAATTTGTACAAGCCCGATAAGGCCAAATCACACATGGAGAAGAGAATTGGACACATAACCCCACTACTAGCCACAGAGCAATTGGCAACTCAGCTTCTGGGGAAGGAAGGAGAGTGTTTTATGTAAGAGTACAGCCCTTTGTAAGTCAACCAAGCAAGCTCCAGTGGAAGAATAAACATCTAATGATATTTTGGGCAGCACAAACAGATCTTGAAAGATTTTTATTTTGTTTTAGTTTGGTTTGATTTTTTTCATGGCACAAAGTTGGGAGGATAGGAAAGAAAACATAGATCTGGAAAGAGTTGGGGGACCAAATATGATCCAAACATATATGAAACTGAAAACTCTCAAAGACCTCATTAAAATTAAAGCATTAATATTAAAAATCATGCATACAATAAAATAACTTTATGCAAATCATTTTAATTTAGAATTTTAATCAACATGGTTGTGTTGTTATTCTTAGAGAAGCAAACAGATAGGCATATAAATGGCAGAACTAATAGAAGAGTTTCCTTCCCAGGAGCTTTTAAGGTTCTATGTGAGGAAAGACATGAAAGAACTAAGATAAAACTCTTTGTGACACTTTTATGAATACTGTATTGACTGCTGCTTCAAGGTCACAGACTGTTGGTTCAGTTACGTCCACTTACCACCAACCGAATATCCTTTATTTCCCCAATCCCGACATTGATTTTCTTCTTTTCATTCACTGGTAGTCGGATATTTAGAAGGTAATATTTATGAGCCACTGACCCAATTTCCATGAAAGGAAGGACATCACATTCATAATAACGACCTTCATGCTCTAAAGTCTGGAAAGAGATTAGATGGTTTAAGGCAGATTACTATTTACAAAACACTATATGCATTCATTTGCATTGAGTTCATGTGATCAATTTTAAAATGTTAATGTGTGAAGATGCACATTAAAGGCACAGATTTACAAGGAATACTGAAATCCCTGTTTTCACTGAACTACTTCACCAAGATAGAAAAAGGGAAGAAAGGAAAGGAGGGAAGGAGAGAGAGAGGAGGGTAGGATGGGGAAGAAATCAGCCCCATTTTAGTTAAAAAATAAAATTTAGATAAAAAGCAGAGATTTCTTCTGTCCTTTGAAGCCTTTCTCAGACTTAGAAACCACATTAGAGCTTTGAATCAGACCGTTCAACTATTTTAGGTAATTCCTAAGAGACCTCCAAAGATTCCTGTGTGTGTGTGTGTGTGTGTGTGTGTGTGTGTGTGTATTCGGGAAGAAAGTCATTGATGAAGTCTATCACAATCTTGATAATGGTTAATTATTTTCACAGTGAAATATAGAAAGCTAAAATTATCTTCCTCTTCTTGATTTGACAAAAACAGCAGTACATTGGGGTTGGAGAAGTGTCTCAACAGTTACGAGAACTTGATGCTCTTGCAGAGGACTCAAATTCTATTCTCAGCATCCACACAGCAGATTAAAACTGATTATAACTTGAGTTCCAAGGCACCTGGCTTCCATGGTCTGTGTAGTTAGTTGTCTGAAAGAAACAGTCACCATAGTTATTGACACTATTAGGAGGTGTGGCTTTGTGGCCTTGATTGGGGAAGTGTGTCACTATGGGCCAAGCTTTGAGGTCTCCTTTGTATGTGGATCAAAATGTAGAACTCTCAGCTCCTTCTTTCAGTACCATGTCTGCCTGAATGCTGGCATGTCCTACCATGATAATAATGGACTAACCTCTGAAACTGTAATCCAGCCTCAATTAAATGTTTTCCATTATAAGAGATGCCATGATCACAGTTTCTCTCCACAGAAATAGAAAACCAAATTCCTGCAAGAATTCGTGCAGGTGGTGTACTTGCATACATAGAGAAAAAAATACACATCAAATAAAAATGGCTTTAAAGACAAGAAGAAGAAAGAGAAGTTGCACACAGTGCCTTGAACAATGGAATTAGTTTGCTAGAGACGCTCATTCAAAATTTTCTACACCCAACCTGAACCTCCTAACTATCCAAGAGGCAAATTGGCAAGAGACAGATGAAAATTTAACTAAACAGAAATTTAACCCAGTACCTAAAAAAGCCTCTTGAACTTCCTAACAACTTAAGAAAGATGATGAGTTAGTGGGGAAATAAATTCTATACATTTCTCAAGGCATCCTGTATATGTGCCTTTTAAAGGTGGATACAGGAGGTAAACACAGTGTGCAGAAGCATGAGCTATAGCAAGCAGGGATTTTTTTCCCTGATAAGTACTTGGAAATCTGTCATTAATATTAGATCTACATGCAGATAACTTGATGTGTCCTGAATAATTGAATAAAGGTGAATTATTTCTCATTCCTAGTTCTGAATTGTTTCATTGGCATTCATAATTTGTCATATTAGAGGAAAATAACTAGTACAGAATTCAGTGAGAAGATGAATAGGAGGCTGTAGTTTAGGATTAAAAGGGTTAAGCACCTTTTGTAATGATGGCAGGGCCTCTTTACTGGACAGTCAGTACATTCTAACCCTGAGTACAATGAACAAGTCTCCATACAAAGACAGGAGACACTTGTAGATTAGAAGGAATAAAACTAGCAAACAAACAATCTGTGCACCTCTACTTTCTTCTTCCCTTCCTTTCCTGGTCAGACATCACTAGTCAGTCGCGTTCTAGTATAGACATGTATCAGTATTGAATCATGAAAATTTATCTTCTAATGTATGAGGACTTTTGTCTGACATTACCAGTTGATTATTGGCAGCAAATAAGATTTTAAAAAGTAAAATATTAAAAAATAAAATATTCTGTTTCTTTCTCAAATTATGGATGCATATTGGATGATTTTTCCCATATAAACGGTCTTTTTGCCCCAGAATTGCTTTTTCCTCCTTTACCTAAATAAGTATAGAAATAAAAATATGTAAGAATTGATGAAAGTAAACTACAAGCTGCCTAGCAGGATTAGTGTCAAACTCACTACATGCAGTTAAGGGCTAGAGGGTTTGTTTGCTTCCTTGGTTCCTTTCTTTTTTCTTTTCTCCTTCCTTCCTTCCTTCCTTCCTTCCTTTTTTCCTTTCTTATTTATTTATTTGTATGTTATTTGTATTAACTATTTTGCCTTTGTATATGCATGTGTAACATGCTTTGGGTTTGCTTTCTAAAGTTCTACTTCTACCAGTATTAATGGCACTTCAGAAAAAACAATATTCTCATTTTCTCCCTTTTTTTTTACTGCCTCCTATCTGCCTTCTCTCCCTCATACTCTCCCTAGCCACTCCTAATTCTGGCATAAGACTACCTAATTAGGGAAAATTACATCAGGTAGCAACTTGACTTGTTTTTTCTTGACTTCACAATCAACTGGAGACTACACAGCTTTAAAGCAACTTCTCATTTAACATTCAGAATCAAAATTAAATTTTACCATAATCAAAATACATAGATTTGATGATTCACTTTCTTCACACCTTTCAAAGTCTGATCTCTTTTGAGGAGATCAACACATCCTAAAGATAATTAAGACCCTGTCACTGAGAAACGGTTACAGGCAGCACCCACACACATTTCTTAATGTGTAAGGAAAAGTGAAAAATGACTTCTTTTTATGAGGATAAAATTTTCTACATCCAAAAGTCCTGTAACTTTCATTTACCATTTAACCAGGCTCTCCTCTGAAAAATACAACTAAGATACATCACATATAGAATTATATATTCTTCAATTTCATAAAAAGAATTTTGAAATGGCAGCTATCTCTTTATTTTCCCAGTTTATAGGTTCCTTTCCTTTTTACCCATTAAATTACCTTCAAGAGCCTACCTAAAACAATTATTCTAGGCTGTTTAGGAGAGAACTTTATATTTAGACAATAAGAAAAGAAAGGGCCTGGGGTAGAACTTTTCAAGTTTTGTTCATTCCAAGAGTATAAGTTGAAAGTGCCCTGAAATAAAGTCTTCAGTACTGTCTCCTGATTTGAGTCAGGAATTATTATGGCTTGAATGTGCCTGTCAATTCTAATATTGAAATTTAGTTGTTATCATGATTTGGTCATAACTGTTCTGCTCTCATGAATTAATGCTGTCACTGTGGAGAAGGGTTAATAATCAAGAAAGAAGTTTTGCTATGTGAAGCCCACTTTTGTCCTATCTCCTCTCCCATATGGGTACAATAGTTCTCTTACCATGTTTTAGTATAGTACAAAAGACCTGAACAGATTTCAGGTATGATGGTTGTAAAGTCTTAGCCTCTACAAGTATGAACCAATAAATTTCTATTATTTATAATTTACTGACATATCAGCAGCAGAAATAGCAGGTTTTAAGTGTGGCCTGAGAATCTGTATTTTCTATAAGCTTGCAAATCACACAGATGTGCTTGGTATTCAGACCACATTTGCATAATGAAAACCAAGAAAACAAACTGCAACAGGTGATTGGATGCTGGGTAGAGTTTGTCTATGAGAGTTACAGCCCATCTTGTTAACATTGCATTTGATTCACAAACATGTCTTAGGCATAATGTTAAATTATAAAGCCACTGTACATGTTCCTTATATCTTCTGGTTCTTAAGAAAACAAGACTACTATACATTATCTATGTCGCAGAAGAAAAATAGACAAATTATAAAGCTAGATTGTGAACTCTGACTTAGTGACAGAACCTGGAATGGGGGGCACATCTTTTTTTATTTCAAACCCATTATTTAATTGATACTGAAAGTATATGTCTATGTATGCTGGGCATAGTATTCGGAGGCTTCCACCTGCCATTCTCACTACTAACTTTGTTCATACACTGGCAAAAACAAAGTTTTAAAAGACCAATGCTAGAGAAAGGATCAAATTTTTCTGATTTTGTACAAGTCCTTTAGGATCAACTAAGATGAGACAACAGATGAGAAAAGACAGGATCAGGAATTCTTTTCAGTGAACAGTATAGCCTCTCCTTCACTTCAAAAAAAAAAAATGAAAACATTCTGTCCCTGATGAGATATCAAAAGTCACTTAATTGTTGTTACTCCATGCCAGGAAAGAAACACTGTCAACTTAGCAATTAAAGTACCCTACCTTGGGGGATGTAAAAGTACATTTTAGTTTGCGTGGTACTCTTTCATGGGCCATTTCAGTCCATTCAGAAAACATATCATCACGGTAACCCAGGGAAACATCCATGGAAACTTCTGCATTTTCTCCTGCAAGAGAAAAATGGATAATTTATAAGTAATTTTGTGAAAAATACTTTTTAAACATTCCAAAATTTTCACAGGCTCTTCCATGGAATCAAAACAAACAAGCAAACAAACAACAACAAGAACCAAAAAAATACCCAAAACAACAACAACAAAAACCCAAAAGAGATATTATTATCAAACCTAAACCTAAAGATTGAGGTCACAGTACTAAAATCTAGTATGGATTCTGGATCTTCTCCCATAGTCATTCTGTGAGTCAAGAACTTCCATTTAAGCTCTACCAGTAATAAAAACTTCATTCTCTCTGAGGCAGCAGAGTTGCTCAGAATCTGAATCATAATTAGAACTTATTTTCTTGTAACTTGCACTGCTGGTGTAAAATATGCCTGTAAGAGCCACATGGGAGTTGTTGTACCAAATAGTTCCACAAAAAGAGCCTTAGATACTTGATAATTATCATAGTTACTTTGCTTGTTTTTATTTTTGTTTCTTTTGTTTTGTTTTTTCTCCATACTCTTCTTTTCATTGGAAAACTATTTTCTTTGGAAAAAATAGGGCAGGTCTTACACATGGACAAAGTAAACTCAGCCTACTAAAGAGTCCCACTTTCCTCCTCAATTCTTCAAAGGCTTTGAAGATTCCTACGTGACAAGAAATATGCACTCCCAGGACCTACACACCCAATGTCCTACTTCTGTCTTGCGTTACTCTGGAAATACTCTTCTTGGACAACTCTGATCTTATTCTCAGTGTTTATGTGTTTTTCTCCAAAAACAGGCATCCAAGAGGAATGAAACAACCATTTGTGTGGTCAATAATGATCAAAAGGCTGTTGTTCACAGAAAGACATACACAGCACTAGATCTCAGAGTCTGGGGTGCCTTCGCACAAGCAACAAAGGCTGTTTCTCTCTATATGAGATGAGTAGGAGATGAAAAGGGTTGAAAGGGTTTCCTAATCAATCATATTCTTACACATAATTTTAAGCAGTCCAAGAATCATACATTCAAAACTGGTATTCCAGTTCATTATGAAAGTAAATCTGTTGTAATCAGAAAGTAGAATATATCTGGCTGAACAGTTTATTGGTCAAATGTATCACTGTGAAATATATCATGAAATGGTAGGTATGCCTTCAGGGAAACTCCTACCCTGGGCCCTACACACACACAAAAAAAGAATAGCAATAGGCCTAGGTAGAGAACGTATTTCAGGCAGAGTAAAGATCAGATAGAATTAACCACTGGCCTGGCCCCAGCTATAACAATTCTTCTAATCTACTGAGAATGTTCAAAGGAAAAGCAATAAAAAATTACACACTATATTATTATACAACTACCCTATTTTAAGTAACAATAACTTCTGCGGTTTATTTAAATTAACTAATTTAATTTTCTATCAACTCTCATAACTAAACATTGATATGTCCTTTATTAATAAGTAAACTGAGGCTTTCAGATATTAAATAATGGCATAAAGACATATTGTTGATATTAACATGAGAAAGATAATGATCCTAAAGTAGCCTTAAAAGGAAAAATATTGACTGAGAATAAAATTCAGTGGCAGGTTCTAGGTTCCAACCTTAAAACTTCCAGAGAGGGGGGAACAGGGAAGGAAGGAAGGAAGGAAGGAAGGAAGGAAGGAAGGGAAAAAATAAAAACTCTCCATCATATCATTTATCCATTTCTTTTGTGGTTTTGCTGCAAGAGTAATGATAATAATTTGCTTCACTATAAGTATTCCTGTTGCTATATATATATCTTTTTTTAAAGATTTATTTATTTATTATATATACAGCATTCCTTCCATGTATGTTTGCATGCCAGAAGAGGGCACCAGATCTCATTATAGATGGTTGTGAGCCACCATGTGGTTGACCTCTGGAAGAGTAGTCAGTGCTCTTAACCTCTGAGCCATCTCTCCTGCCACTGCTATATATATCTTAAGACATTATGTTGTTTATATTAAATGTGCCCAGAAATTTCTAAAGATTATCACTTTGTCTAACTTGTCATCCTCAAATCAGTCACAGAACACAACTTTTATATGAATCGTCCTTAGACAGGCTATTCCTACTACTTTTATTAGGTAAAGTAGTAGAATTCAAGAAAATATCCACCAGCAAAATTAATCATGCTTCATGGAGGAGATATTCAACTCTGATCAAAGCTTTCTACTGTGTTCCCAGCACGGGCAAGGTTCAAAATCATCACTGAAACCCTCTAGCCCAAGCATGGGGTCAAAATATGTTGAACCAAAACAATACCTTTTCTATGAAGAACTTGAGAATTGCAGTGTAAGTCAAAGAGCACCAAGTTGGAAGCCTGGGAATACCAGTGACCATGGTTCTGTCTTTTATTGCATGCATATATAGTAAAGAGAGACTAAGGTGGGTGGAGATGAGGTTGTCTAAGGAGAAAACACTATGTGTTCCTTCAGTAGCCCATGTGAACTGGTACTGAACCATTTTACCAGACTGTCTTGTATTGTCAGGGTTTCTGTCCTGCCTGGTTCCTGCAATTGCTAAGTCCTAAAGAAATCACACAGAGGCCTACATTATTGTAAACTGATTGGCCCATCAGGCTTCTTATTAACTCTTATAACTTATATTAGCCCATTATTCTTGTCTATGCTAACCACATGGCTCGGTACCTTTTTTAGTGAGGCACTCACATCTTGCTTCCTCTGTGGCTGGGTAAAGGACTACGTCCTCTTCCCAGAATTCTCCTTTCCTCCTTGACCCATCTCTACTTCCTGTCTGGTTGTCCCGCCTATACTTCCTGCCTGGCTACTGGTCAATCAGCGTTTATTCAAAATATAATTGACAGGATACAGACCAATGTCCCACAGCAGTCTTGGTTTTTAAAATGAAAAAAAAAAAAACAGAAATTAAGTTTTTGGGGTTTTTTTTGGTTTGTTTTTCTTTTAAAATAAGAGTCTGGTTAGAGTTGAGCAGCTTTTCCATAAAGAATGCTGCCTGGGTGTCTTTTGAACTCTGTTTTCTTAGGCAAAGCTGGACTTGGAGTGATATGGAAATTTAATGAGGAAATTAAAGACTCACCTCTGACATTCACTATTGTGCTCCTCAACAACTTATGAAATCTCTTCCCAAAATATGAAACATAGACACATATGAACATGTGTTAAAGAAGCTGCTGTTCTTATGAAAAATTGAGAGAAACAGCCTCAATTTTTTTTTTAATTTAGCAATCTTGTTACTAAAAACATTCTTCCTCTTGATAATCCAAGTGCTGTTCTATTAACAGAGCATCAGGAAACCTCAGACACCTCATTCTTCATGCTGACCATATCATCTTTTTTTCTTTCCATCATGCACACAAGTCAAGTTCAAAATTATCTCACTGTTTACTATATCTGTAGCCTGCTATGCCTTAATTTTACCCATTATCTACTTACACTCTACATAGTTGTGGACAAGGGTGCTATTTTTCTGTGTAGGAAGAACTCAGAAAGACAAAGTTCCCAAAACATTGCAATGACTGTATGTCCTGGCTTATAGACTCAGCATTTTACAATTTTTTATTTGTATATTTGAAATCCAGAGATACAGGATAAATGGCTGTAACAATAACCCTTTTGCTCCCTACCTGGACTCAATGTTATTGTTCCCAGGATAGATGCTTCTCATGTTATAATAAAACTCATCCCTTAGGATTGTATGACCTCTAAATAGTCACTTCATGGAAATTGCTTAGAACAGTGCATAAAGCATCAAGGGCAGCAATTTCTGTCATCATTTTATTGAAGGAAGTGAAATCCTCATATCTACCTTTCATCAGTATAATAGCAAGTGAGAAAAATATGGAGCTTCCCTCCAAACCCATTACAAACATGCAACACAAAGCTTTGAAACAGGAGAACACTGTGCAAAAGAAGTCAGTAAAGCTGTGTTGCTTGCTATTGAACTATTTTCTCTTCTGCCTTTCAATGGAGTAGGAAATCTTGTTCAGCTTTAATGACTACATTGCATATAATAAAACATTGGTCACATGGCTTCTGGGCTACTGCTTGGGCAATACTACCTGACATCTTGTAGACATAATTAAGACTGCATAACCTATTTGAATTCCCTGGGAGACAAGCAAGAAGGCCAAGGCTACATATACACTGGGAAAAGTTACCTATAAAATAAAGACTGGTTATATCAGTTTAATGGAATAAGGGCATAAGGTATTAGCATAAATTATGTCTAGATCTTAAATCCATGGTTTCCCATTCCTCTTCCGGATTAGCCCTTTAGTGTGGAATCCCATCATTCCATTCTGCTGTGTAAATTTCATGTTTTTCAAACACATTAGTGTTGGTAAAAATTCATTTCAGAATATAGGGAAAGGAACTAACTATGAAATGTCACTATGATTCATTCAAATTACTACTTCCATCAGGTTAAGGGATGGCACTCTCACATGAAGAAATTTACAAAACTCTGTAAGAAAAATATGATCTATGGGAATCATCACAGACAGAAAGATCTCAGAAAGATCAGTAACCTTCCACACTAGGAAACATGGACTATAATGTCCTCAGTGGGGTTTTATACTAGTCACACTGCCCTGCTCTGCTAAGAAGTGAGATGGCAATGGGTAGAAGTATGGTGTGGGACAATGGTCTGTATTCTGTCAATTATATTCTAAATAAACACTGATTGGCCAGTAGCCAGGCAGGAAGTATAGGTGGGACCACCATACAGGAAGTAGAGGTGGGTCAATGAGAACAGGAGAATTCTGGAAAGAAGACGCAGTTCTTTACCCAGCTGCAGAGGAAGCAAGATGTGATGGCCTCACTGAAAAAGGTACCTAGCCATGTGGCTAGCACAGACAAGAATAATGGGCTAATATAAGTTATAAGAGTTAATAAGAAGCCTGAGCTAATGGACCAGTTTACAACTAATGTAGATCTCTGTGTGATTTCTTTGGGACTTAACAATTGAGGGAACTTGGCAGGACAGAAACTCAGACAACAAAGGTGGATGGCAA